ATATTTGTTGTACCTCTTTCTCATGATCTGAAAGCCAGCTGGTGTCTTTACTGGAGCCTTGAGGCAAAATATGAACATCCACCAAGACAGCGAAGTTCCCACACTGGAAAAAAAAAAAAAAGAAGAAAAAACCCATGTTGAACTGTAGCTGCTACAAAGCACATGCTGAGCAGACAAGGAGATATACAATCAGGTAAGCATATGCATCTGATTCAGAAATACAGCAGGCAGAACATAAAACTGTGGAAGTTTATGAAGTATGGAACTACAAATTTACCATTGTTTGTGGACATAATGAGAAACAAGAGCACCAGAGCTATCCTGGATAGCTCACTGAAAAGTTTAAATAATAACAAACACAAGGACATGGAATTTTCTTCTGCTAGCTAAATGCCACTGAGTTCAAGCCAATTTTAATGTGGGAAAAATTAGCTCTTCCTTCACCAAACTCCCATCATTCTATTTCTGAAAATTTGGTCCCATATTAGTTATCTAGTTTGTATTTTAAATTTATTAAGTCCTTTAAAACTCAGCCTCTTAGAAGTCTTTTCTCTCTCCAAACTACCTAATGTAAAGCACAGCAAGTTTGAAGGACTTGTCAATTAATATTAGGTAGTTACCACATCTGTTATTTAGCCAATACTATACTTTGAAGAGTTAAAAACTAAGGCTAACCTATTACTAAACACTATATACAGTTGTTTGGCTATAGTCTAGATCCCAAGACATATCAGCTATTTCTCAAGTTCCTTGATAGGCTTTGAGGTGGCACACGAGGTTTAACGGCTTTCTTTCTTCAGTATATTAGTTATTACAAGGAACTAATATAAGGAAGAGTGAATGGCATGAACGCATCCCAGTTCCAGGGCACTGACTCACCTTTGTCTCTTTCCAATGGTGCACTCTAATGGTTTCTACTCTAACACAGCACCAAATCCCACTCAGACATCCTTTAATTAAACAACGTGCAAGGTAAAAGTCAATTTAATCACTCTGGTTTGGCTCTTTGTGCAATACTTGCGATGCAATAAACTCACTCTCTGAGAAGACTGGACATGTGTGGCCATGGCAATTACACATCTGGAATGTCTGATGGAACAGAAACAACTGGTTTCTACTCTAACACAGCACCAAATCCCACTCAGACATCCTTTAATTAAACAACGTGCAAGGTAAAAGTCAATTTAATCACTCTGGTTTGGCTCTTTGTGCAATACTTGCGATGCAATAAACTCACTCTCTGAGAAGACTGGACATGTGTGGCCATGGCAATTACACATCTGGAATGTCTGATGGAACAGAAACAACATCCTGATTCCAGACAAACCTCACGTGTGCATGTGCCATCCAGCATGGGACTGGTCTTGTTTCAAGTGGATGTTGCCACACTCACTTCCTGTCCTCGTTCACTCTCTCCATATTTGCTCTGCAATGCCAAATATGTGCAAACCCCACCCCAGAATTCCAGCTGGAAACAGCATTAATTCTAGAAATAGTGTGATACAGAGCTTTAGACTATAGTTGTACATCACCTACAGTCTAAGAGCTACCTCTATACCTTAGGCTTATGGTACAGCACAAGTAGAGTTGTTAAGAGTGCCCTTGCCTGTACAATTAGTACAAAGTGCAGCAAGATTTAGCATCAGTTTTCTAACCACAACAGTATATTTAGTAAATAAAAAATCTCTGGAGTTACAAAACACTTAGATCTGTAAGTTATCCACAAACTGAAGTATTTGAATAATGATTCAAATATAATTAAAGTATAATTCATGACCAATATTGTAGCTAGAAAGCAAAAGTTTGGCAAATGAGAGAGGCATTGTGAAATCACTTTGAGAAAACTTCTGAGTTACTTATAGGTATCAGCCACTGAAAGAGCAGAATGCTTTGATCTATTGTATCAAAAGGCTTCTCTTTCCTCCAGAGAACCAAGAATTACCAGATGGCTGCAACAGCAAACCTTTTCAAGCTTTAAAAGGATGACAAAATATCTCTCAAAAATCTCTGGTGAATCATTAGTCAGCTACAGCAAACTTTAAGTTGACTACTGAAGTTCAAAGTTAGCAGACGCTGCAGATCATAAAGTGAAAGCCAGTAAATTATTCCTGCTTCAGCACTTAGAACCATGAGCAAGTATTTGATACATCAAGAGAATTCAAATTATCAAATGCAACATGTTAACATGTAACATCATCTCCTATTGACTACAGAAACTTTCTATAGATACAGGTGCAAAGTATAGACCTGATTTTCAAGGAGAGATAATGTTTGTCATTATTTTCTTCTGAATGGCAACGTTTGTCTCAGTTGCCAATCTTGAAACAACTGGAAAGAAAAGAAAGTAGTGAACCATATTTGAAACTATATAAATGAACAGTTAAAGTTATCTTAAAAATATATTTCTCTGTAGTACTTCAAAGAAAAATAAGTACATATAAATAATGCATAAATCCTTGAAATAGAGAAGGTTTCTCAATTGAATATTCCTATTTCTCTCACTCTTCCTGTAGACAGCATAGCTGGAACTATTTCAACAACCAAAAGCCAAAACTTTTGCTACTCAGTCAGAACAGCTTTGGGACAGGACACAAGGAAGCATAACTGACACAGACAAAGAGAAATATGGGGAGTAAGAGAATATAAGCACAGACCTTTCTGAGCCTCACTACGTCCTATTTTACTAAAGTCCTGAACATGCTATAAGCAGCAGCTCCCATGAAAGTTCCTGTGCACTCTCAAACTGTACAATACATTGTACAGCCTACACCTCTATTTATGCTTTATATGCCTTCCCATAGTACAGCTTTATGTTTGATATCTACACTAAGCAGCTCAATACAACTTTGGCTGCTCCAGCAGCAAAGGAAGAGTTCTCACTACAGACTAAATGCCAATATGAACAATTGTGGGGAACAGAGGGAAGTGAAAGAAAAATGTATACTCTTTATATAACCAGACTTGATGATCTCCTAGAAGTTTCTAAGCATTCTTATTTTTCTTCTGATGACATGCAGATACTAGCTTGTATTTTAGAGGAAATGAAGTGTTTCCAGTCAGTGTGGCTGCAAGAAGCAACTTGTGACTCCCAAGTACCATAATTGAAAGGCAAATGAAAAGAACAGCAACTTCTAATTTTATGCTTTCAACATCAATCTCAAAATGTGCATTGATAATTGTTTTTACAGGTGTGATTGTCAAAACTGAACCCTGAATGCCTGATTTGATGGCAAACACAATGTCAAGAATCAATAGGAAAACATTTCACTGTAAAATTGAAGACATACAGAGGCATCAATCTGATATCCCCCTAAATTCTAAAATTTGAAACCTCTTCACTTTTACAAGCTGTTTTTAAGTCAGTGTTCTTACTGTAGCACTCTAATAACATTCATTGTGTTACTAAACAAAGGGCTTTAAATGATGGCAGAATGACTTTTGTGTATTGCTGTACAGTAACGGCACATAATGCAGAACATGCTTTCAGAAGTCAATTTGTTTACACAAATACATAAAACATTTCACAGATTTTGCAAAGGGAAAAGATAACCAGACATGTAATGTAAGCAGAATGAAAACCAACACAGTGGTCAGTCCGTCAAGGAAAGTCATCTGTTCACAACCTGTTAAAACCTTGGCTCAGCATAGGCACATATTAGGCAATGGATTACTATCTCGAATCCCCCAATGAGGAGATAAACCCAGATAAATACTTTTTACTGCTATATTCATTTCTACAATCAGGGACTCCTACATGGATACTCTCATTTCTTTTAACTGCATCACTTCAAATAGCATAAAAACAGTCCTTAATAAACAAAAATACCTGGGATAAACACGGTGAGTTTGTATTCAGTTACACCATTTCAAATGTACTGTATCAATATGCAGAGAGGACTGGAGCACAAGCCTCCCAAGACACATAATAGTGCTTCCCATTCCTGTGATTACGCTCCAGATGTGGGCTGTAGGGTCAGAATTCATTGAAGCTTAGTTGCAAAAGAAACAGATGACATTTTAGCTGACTTTTGGGCTGGCTGGGAAGGAGGTGAGCTGCAGCCATCACACACATTTTGGCTTTCCAGCAGCAGAGCTGCAAACACAGGTGATACCATTAGCATGGAGTAATAGCTGGTTTGCAGCTTGCCATCTGTGCTTCAGCTCAGAACGGCCTCTGTAGTACCAAAAGCTTGGGGAGTTTAATAGGTCTAGAGATAGACAATACTTTCCCTATAAGCCTGGCTTTGTTTATAATCTATTTTAATTAAAGACAATTTTGAAACACGTTTCCTACTACTGGGAGAGAAGCATGTCCTACACTACCAAACTTTAGTTCTTCAAGATAAGCACGTAGGGACTGTTTCTTTCTACTGCTACCTCTTCCCTGAGAAGTGTGCTAGTTAATTACAGTGATAATTTTATTCCAGTGTCAGATGATGTTTGTAGTTCTATAGAAATTAACTAGACTAGATCCCAATGACCACTCAAAAATGTCCCTTTTTAGCCTTGGGACATAATTGATAGGAGGTATCATCAGTCTCCGAATAGCAAAAGCACAGCCAAGAGATTTTGCAGATAATAAAATAAAACATACTTAAAAATCTTATGTAAAATAACTTGTCTTAAGCAGGAGAATGTAAGTATATTCCATCCTTTCTAAGTTCTTCCTAAAAAATGGTAAATGTTCCACATTGAATTAAGCAAGTTCAAACATCTACAGCATTAAGTACAATTATGTATCATCATTGGCCTGTATGCTGTGCCAACTGATTTATGACAAAAATCACTTTTTCCAGGCTTTTTAGAAGTTTGTTCTCCTCCTTTATCTTTCTGAACCCAGAGAAAATTATGTGTTTTCCTTTTGTTTATACATTTTAGCACCAATGATGTTCAATATTTTGACGTCTTCTCTTTTACAGCAACAGCAACAAGCAAGTGAGCATACAGCACAGAGGATATATTTGCCATTATGAATCATTAATTTACCTTTAATTTACATGCATGTGTATGAGCACTATGATTTGAGGTAATACACAGTTTCCCAAACTGTTCCAGCAGTCAAATGCCTCAACCTGTTTCAACACAGGAGTCAGGATAGCCATT